TATATATATATATATATATATATATATATATATATATATATATATATATATATATATATATAATAATATAGTATATATATATATAATATATATATATATATATATGATGTCAATCTCTCATATGAATATACCTGAGGTTTTATACTTGTATTCAATGCATTTTCGCCATCTTCAGCCATTTGCGGTTTTCATTGTGTGCTCAGTTCGAGCGCAACGATATTTCCAAAAAAAAAAAAGGCTTGTGTGATGAGGTACTACCACAATCACCCATCTGTCAGAGTAGCTGTTTGATTATTATCACAGTAGGCTCAGTACAATACCCCGCCCACACTGCAGCGTACTGCAACAGCCATCAGGACGAGTTGCGTTGTACCGTAGATGCTAAACTAAAGCAAACTCGCATATATTCAGCAAGCTGACAAATGTTCAACGCCTCCGCACAGTCACCCTGACAACATCTATGCATTTCAGGAGTGTCGCATTCGTCAGCAACAAACATCTGCAAATCGATAGAAGCTTATATTCTATTACAACTACACGTCACAGCCTCTCATCTGATTTGTTAGTTTTCCCACCGCGAACTCGCTCTCCAACTCACGAATAATAAATAAACCATAGGAGCTAACACCATATATGCGTTGGCAGCCAACACCATATAAGCACAGGCAGCCAACATCATATAAGCATAGACAGTTAACACCATATGGAAGTCATTGCAATGTTCTCCAACCGACGAACGTAACTCAGCTGTCCAAATGCTGTTCCAGTTGTCAACCTTGCCGCTTTGCTCTCTGTCATAGACTGCCCAAGGGCTATTCGCACCCACACTAGCAGTCAACTAGCAGTCGCAATCGCCGATGGAAGGAAATGCAACATCTTCTGCTTTCTTACTGACGACCAATAGTTTGTGACCGTGAGATATGTAACCCTTCACGAATTTCTGAAAAATTGACAATGATGGTCGAGTTGTGTTGAGAGGCTACAACACCGGACTATACCAACAGTCGTCCGAACCCACAGACAGCGCAACGATACCCAAAATCACGATATGCGCCCAAAAAATCAATGAAGGTGTACCCGCCTGCCATTATAATATCTTGACAGCAAATATGGTAAGCAAGTAGCACACACCTTGAAAACAAGAACAGCTACAATATATTGTACTTCTTCAAATGAACAGTTGTATGGTAAGCAAGTAGTACACACCTTGAAGACAAGAACAGCTACAATACATTCCACTATATGGTAAGTAAGTAGCACACACCTTGAAAACAAGAACAGCCACAATACATTCCACCTCTTCGAATGAGCAGTTGCAATGCACGTATTGAAGAGCAACTTGGAACTCTTTCAGCCTGATCCGGCCGTTAAAAGGGGTACCTGTCCACTGACACTCCTTGACCTTAATCAGCCACCTAAATGATCACATATTGGAGAAATACTGCTTGTCAACACTTAGGCTAACTTCAATAGAGCGTGATATGAGAAGGTTAAAGACGAGGGTCAAACTGCACCGCTGATTCCACGTCTTGGTCTGTAGAGTAGAGCCAGTCGTGGGTTCTGGGTTTACATGCACAATGGACGTCCGCCCGGAGCAACCATAAAATAGCTTACATACACTTTTCGGAGAAGGTTGCGATACGTGAGGGTCTTGAGCCTCTCCATCAATAAGAACAAGCCCCTTTTTTCTAAAAAGAATTCTTGATCCTCGAGCGCTGTGTTGAACGCCTTGACATCGCCTGCTTTCAATGCACGAGCAATATTTTTATATTGATCCAGCTTGTAGAGCTTCAGCAGACTGTCTGTGGGTGATGTGCCCTGCCAATGGTAATTAATGAAGGCGGGTTACAAAAACTCACAGATTTTATTTGCATCAAGCCACTGATCTGATGGGATTTCATCATACAGCGTATCATTTAATAATACATATCATTCAATAATACTTTAGATGCGCAAAACAACAGTCAGCTACTGCAAAGACTAAAGCACAACAGTCCGTGTGGGGCACCCACGGCAGGCAAAGTGTCCTTGTTTTCCCTGCAAGCGCCTACTGAATAGGAGACTGGCGTTTAATATACTAAAAAGTGTACAGAAATTTCCGTCCTAGAGGGTCGCACTTTCACACCGATTCTCCGTCACGCACAGAATGAGACGCTTACCTTGAGCAGATTCAAGGGAATCAAATACACAAGTATAAGTTGTACATTTTTCGGAAACTGTCGCGAACAGAAATCGAATGCATATCCAAACTGGATGCGGGCCTCGTCATAGTCGCCTTTGAAGAGATGTTGGTACCCCTGTGATAGGGGTATCGACAAATAATACATGTATATTTGAATATCAATTGCACACAAGAACAAGTGCTAGCTGATAAAAACTTTTTCGTCCTGGTGAGAAAGGAGTTAGAACGGCACGCAGCAGCTCGCACCCACCACACAATGGAGAAATCGCTTTCATCGTCCGCCATCATAATCTCTATAACCCGTCACAACGGAGATGGATTGCCGCATCACATCCTAAACGACATTCAATCCGTGACAAATCATCTGAAGATAGTCAACTCAAGAGCGCAAGGCAAAACTCTGACATACAGGCCTACGTCACATACCACAAGATATCGGAAGGTCGTGACGTGCGATATAGGAAACTTCGCATTTATATACGCATCGTTGAAATTGTTGTATATCGTCGCCCGTGTTTGGTCACACATGCTCAGATTGAGCTTGGAGAACAGCTTGAATAGATTGTTGGCAACAGACAATGATGCCCAGCGCCGCGAACTCTCTGATTCGTCTCTGTCCATACAAGCCGGTGCAAGCAGCTTCATCATCAGCCTACCAGACTTCTCCTTATACTCGTTTTTCCCGGATTTTCCCATGTCCGCTTGGTCTGCAAGAACACGCAAGTCTTTCAAAACCTGGAATACACCGGGAGAGGATGGTGTTACTTTATGAAGATCTCTACAGAGTGAAAACAAAAACCAACTCGCTCAACTATTCAATTTAAATAAAGACCACGCCAAGTACATGGAGGACAGGTACCAATCCCGACTCCAAATTAATAGTATAGAAAAATAAATTGGAGCAATGAAAAAGAGAGATCGCAAAGGGTAAAAAGTGCTAACCAGGGGCAAATTACAATACATTAACACATTGAAGCCCAGGCTCAGACACACAGAAGTACACGGCCACGCGAGCACACTAACACACACCAATCCCAGGGCTGGATTGGCCCACCCGACATCCTCGTTTTGGCTGAATATTTGTAGAAAAGCATTACAGAGGTCGTACTCCTAGTGATGCAAACAAAAAAAAATGGAAGATGTTATTTGAATCCGGTCATGCGAACGGCTACCAGAACTTCGTGAGGCTATCGTAAACTATAGTGTGAATGACCAGCATGTCATAATATGATGTGCACTATGTCCAACTGGCGATATGGTATGCAAATACGTACGCAGATATGTAGTTACGCTGAACGTAAATGCACACGTTGTGCCTAAAATCCCCACAATCATCCATGTACCTTCTCAGTGCTTGAACTCGTGTGCACATTCATTCAAGCACCGTTATTGCACCGAATATAAACAGTTTCTTGAGAATAGATCCCTCCACGAATATTTACATCAAAAAAGTGGATATTCGAAAAATATACAGAGCGAGTCTAGAGCATGCTGTCGCCTTTTTCAAACCTCAATTATAGTACGATATGTATTTCCTTATGACCATCGAACTCGACCTAAAAAATGCCGAAAATAGTTTAGATACTCGAGTGTATACTAGTTTTGAGGGAAGTACGAATAACATTACACGCTTGCACCTGCTCATTTAACAGCCGAATCCGATTACTATTCGATCGAAGATATTGCCGACCGCAAACAACGTCATAGACTGCTCCAAAAAAGTATGAGGTTACGTACACAAAACTATGTAGATATGATGACCTCACTCTACAGAAGGATAGGACCTATTCATGAATCATACACCCCAAGCACCTAAAAATTTAACATCACACACACGCACGCACACACACACACATACACATACATACAGACACAAAAACTATATATGTATGTATACGCCCACACCCACATATAAAC